TGTTAAATTTGTTTACTTGAAGAAAATACATTTATCTTGATTTTATTTTTTAAGTTGGATTTTTTGAGATTCACTCTCAACGTTCAGTCTTAATTTAGCAACTTAACGACAGTAATCTTTATAATGTATGTATAATGTGCACATACTGTACTTGAACATGTAAAAAGGCACCAAGAAGCTGTTAGTCTTATCAACTGAGCACAACATGGACGGCCGGTCATTGGAAGAGTCTGTATATCTGTACATAGCACACAAAGTAGAATCTCTGTAAACATATTTTTGTTGTTGTGGCTGTCAAAATGCTCCATACATTTACACTAGTTTACTTAAGTGTGGTCTTAGCCTTTCTGCATGCCTGCTCCAATAATACCAGGCCAGCAAGTGCTTTGAGTTTTTTTTTGGTTTGTTTTTTTTAGTTTTGAAGCTAATTGTTGTTTCTTCCAATGCCTTCCACCTGTTTACCTGCAGAGTGAGTACACTTTGACCTGCATGCCAACTATCGCTCTCTTCTGTGGTTGCACACACAGCTTTGCAGTCTGTCATTGCTCATGTGAATGTGAAAGCAATGACAGCTCCTGAAATGTTTGATAGGACTAGCAGTTTTTTTTAAAGTATACTTCAATGGTACAGGAGTAAGAGGAGAAAAAGGAAGGTGTTTAAGATATTGTTTGAAAATGCCTTCAATGTCACCAAGTGCCAGGTACACACTGAGTAGAAATAGGAGCCTTTTGCATTTTAAACTGGCACTGTCACTGGTGCCGGTTATTTTTGACTGTAGTCTGGCAGCATGTTTTGGCAACTGGCAGAGACACTGACATTTAAGTGCCCCCACACCATTACAGGACATGGTGGTGTTGTTTTTATTTCTATGTCTTTTTCATTGCATTTGTCTTTTTACCTAATCTTCTGCTTGCCCATAGCATGGCCTTAATATATTTGCTCTTTTTATTAAAATAAGTATTAATGAATTGAAACGATTTGCTGCTCAGATGCTTTTTACTTTGGCCTGTGATTCTTGTGTCCACTGATGTGATTTCTTCCTCTCTTCTTTTTCTTTGCAGCAAAGGCCAAGTAAGCCCACCTCTACTCTAAATTCCTTGCAGAAACTTTGGTTTTGTTTTGTGTTGTGCATGTGTGTTTTGGGCAGCACATCTTACAAGAGCTGCATGTCAGTTGAATAATATGAAGACAGAGGCTCATAAAGTTCGTACATCATTTTTATAGAACAGCCATGAATACATGTCTGATGAAAACTAGCCAATGCCACCTCATCAGTCCTTCCATCCTCCTGCATGAAGAGCCTTAGATTATGATACAATTCTCATGGCATCTTTTTAGACAAAGATCTTAGTACCGTGTACAGCAAATTGTACAATATTCCATGGTGCATGTCCGCTGAGTCAGCCAACTGTTTTACCAGACTTGTGTAATAGACAATGTATAGTATTGGTAAATAGAATAGACATTCGTCAGATAGTACAAATGTTAAATAAGCTCAAAAACAGTTCATCTTTCCTAAGGAAATACTTTTATGGAATATTTAAAAACTAAACAGCCTTTTTTTTTTGCTTTGCACTGAGATGTGCAACATGTTTGGAGCAGATTTTGCCATATCTGGGAAGGCAGACGTGCAGCGGTGCAGTGATGCATACGCTTTACCATGAGAACGGCAGGCAGTCCCTCCACTGGCATTTTTTGCCAAACTGCTGTACTGTATTTTCAGAGATGATTGTACAATGTATCACATGAACTTTGGTTTCAGGTAAATAAAACTGTCATACATGAAGAGTTTACTCGCTGTTCTTCTGGTGTCATTTCAAACAATATTTAATGTGATGTGCTGTCTTCAGCTTTTAAGGGTAGGTGTAGTAGACCCAATTTCCCTATGCTTTGTGTCTAAGTGATTAATGAGAACAACAATTTTTGAAATAGGTCCACAGTTGGAGCTGGCAGCAGCGAAACAGGCTGCAATGTAACCACTTGGAGCAAGTTTGCACCATAAATTTACATTGATTACAAGTGTACGTTTTTGCTAATGACAGGCTCAAACTGTCACAAGTGTCTGACAACATTATGGTAAGGATCCTTACAGGGATAGACCTATTTGTTCATGAGTAGGATCCTTTTTGTTTAATCAGAAACACACTGAAATTGCCATCACCAAACCAACCAGACTCCATTTAAATAAACAGTCATTTTAATGTGTGTAGAACCAGCATGTTTTCACATCTAACTGTGTGAATTAAGGGTTTATTTCAACCAAACCTGTGCTAGTCATTGTTGGAACAATGAAAAAAATAAACCAAGATGGGTTTCTGAGGGTTTTTTTGTTTGTGTTTTATGATAATGACTGTATATTTAAATGGAGTCTGGTGAGTTTGGCGATAGCAATTTCAGGGTTGTTTCTGGTTAAACAAAAAGGATCTTAAACAAAAAGGTTTTCTCTGTAGGGTCATTTCCATAATGTTGTTGGACCCTCATAGCAACAATCTGAGTCTGTCGGTGGCAAAAAAAAACCCAAAACAAAACCCCAACCTAACAAGATTTTTTGGGGGGCTTTTTAGCCTTTAATGTATAGGACAAACAAGTGTGAGGGAGGGAGAGAGAGGGGGAGTGACATGCAGCAAAGGCCCACAGGCTGGACTCGAACCCAGGCCGCTGCAGCAACAGCCTTGTACATGGGGTGCCTGCTCTACCACTAAGCCACCGGCGCCCCGATACTGGAATAATTTAAAAACTTGTGGCTCACATTAGTCACTCCTAAACACAAACATGGGAAAATGGAGTCCAGGTTGAACTAGAATTACCACCTTGCTGTTGCATGCCTCTGCAACCCAGTCAAGTTGCACCTACAGTTTACATCCATGTCTATGAAAGCATAGATGCTTCCCACACATCTTCACTCTGACAGCACAGAAGATCTGTACAATGTCTCTCCCTCTGTTCCTGAGTTATGATGTTGAGTAATGGCTAGAAAAGTGTTTTTGCAGCACATTATGATGTCACAGTGAAGTTGACCTTCAATCGCTTGGATAAAAAATGTCATCTCGGGGCATCGGTGGCTTAGCGGTAGAGCAGGCGTCCCATGTACAAGGCTGTTGCCGCAGCGGCCCGGGCTCGAGTCCAGCCTGTGGCCCTTTGCTGCATGTCTCTCCCTCTCTCTCTCCACACTTCACTGTCCTGTCAATTAAAAGCAAAAAAATCTTTAAAAAAAAATCAGTTATCAGTTCATTCTTGACTCAAAGTGGATGTTTGTGCCAAATTTTAAGGAATTCCCTCAAGGCATTCTTAAGATATTGCTTACACAAGCATGGGACAGATGACCCAATAACATAATGCCTCTAGCCACAGCTGTCACCAACAGAGGCATAAAAATACCAGACTTACCCTTTAGGGAGAAACTGGACTGCTACACTCATGTCAAGTGAGAGTGTTTAATAATTTTATTATACACTTTAAAAATCTGTACAAAATACTATAAACATTTATCTTGAAATGGTTAAGCAACACTTGAGTCAATCGTAGGGTTATTTTTTGAAACAGAAAAGCCGACTTATCAGACAGCACACACACCAAGTGATTATCATGTACATTACATGACACATTCTCATGTGACCATTCAAATTAAGATGATATATTTTAAAGAGCAGCGGATATATGGTACAGTCACTTTTTCACAGACCTCCTGTTCACCTGTCTGAGACACAAAGTGGTGGCATATTCACAACCTTTATTGTGATCCACACCTTGCCCTCTCTGCGGCAAACAAGTTTCAGTCAGACTCAAATGAAATACAAATTTAAAAATCCCAGTCCCTCTTTTGACACATGTGAAGGATTACTCCAGATATTACTTTGCCTGAACAAAATTTCCCGTCACACCATTTTATTCTGACAATGGCCTCTGTCTATATTTCCTCCATACAAATCTTGCCTGGCAACAGCTCTCCAGTATACTAAACAACTCAACCTCAGGAAGGATCCAAAGCAGGTCTTTTTTAATACACTGACACTCCTGGGACAGTGATGCATTTACTCAGGTAGCAACTGATTGCCAGCAAAGAAGTGCTTTAGAAACAGCCAAAGTAGAGTCAGAGATATTACTGAATTTTCACAAATATTGAGCAATCAAGGTGTAGAACAACACAGCTTGGTTTACTCTGGGGTTGAGAATCTGCTGCTCCTGTAAGACTGTATTGGACAGCTGCTGTGAGAATGTTGGGAAAATAGCATCAAAGGCCACCTTGTCCTGTTTGACGACCCTGATGGCTGGACGCTTCCCACAAGCTGCGGTGTTAGAAGGTGGGGGCGACTGTGTATCCTTATGTGGCCAGGGTCACTGCATGCCAAACCACTGTTCCTGATCAGCCCACTGTGCCGCTTCACTGTCGCTGCCCTCCAGATCTCCGTCCTCTCCGCTGCCCTCCATGTCATCGCCGTCCAGCTCAACCGTGGCGTCTGTGGGACTCTCTTCCTTCTCCATCTTCTGCATGCCTTCTAAAGACTTCTGGTCATTGGGATCCAGGCTTAGGAAAGTAAAAGATAAAAAGCACAAAATAGCAGTAGGAAATAAAACTTATCTTGTGCTTGGATTGGTATGCCAATCAACAAAGGCAATCTCTGCTTACCTTAGCGCTATGCTGTACTGATCCATGGCTTCTTGGTAATCGTTGACAGCCACCAGGAAATCTCCCAGCATTCTGTGCAGGACACAATCACTCTGATTGGCCAGGGCGTTCCGCAGGAGAGCAATCCCTTCTTCATATTTCTGTTCACGACCTTCACAAGAAAAAAAGAACTCTGCCATTTCCACCAGTATATTGATATCAATT